TATTCCACTTGCTTCACCTCTCAATGGTCACGACAGGCAGTCGCATTATTCTGATTGTTGCACCAGCTACCTTTTTTTGGTTGTTTACCTTTTCAACCTTATTATTAATAAACAGATCTTACATTAGTGTAGTACTTTTATTGGGTGCTCTAATTTACAATATTTTGAGCATGTTACTATAAAATTAGCAAAAAGGGTTGGGTTAGTTTAGAGATATTTAGATATAAACATGAATGGAGGCTTGCTGCCTTTTCATTTCATCAGGTGACTAGACCTGGTTATCTGCTACGATTATGTTTCTCTTAGCATGAACATACTCTATGATGGTTCCGATGCCTCACTGTCCATAGTAATCCTGAAGAAGGTGACTGAGGCTATGTGATCCATGGAGGCTCAGATGGGAAAATTGGGTGGGCAGTCATGGATGTAATGTGAGGTTATTAAGGGTATGGATAATCAGAAAGTACTTTAAACAGTTGCTTTCAAAAGAAGGATCACTTGTTGGAATAAATTCATTTCAGTGAGATCATTCATTCAGATAATACAATACGCAGTTATTTTCCTTCACTTAACTGAAACTCTTATATATTGGCTTCTTATTAATTAATTCGTAGAAGAAGACCTGAAGAATTAAGAATCTGAACTGAGAATCACTCTGATAAATGCATACTACTTCAAGAACAAACAAAAGGATATTACTCTAAACCAGAATTTCTTAAACCCAATGGGTGTTGCGGGACCTACAGCAGGGAATCGCCAAAAATTTTAGCAGTTTTGATGTTTCTTTAACTTTATTCCAACTTCATTTTAGTTTTACCAAATATTTTTATGCAATGTATCTAAAAATAAATATAAGACAAAACAGACAAAGAAAAAATGAAAAGGTTTCGACGCATTCTTTTTATAATTTCCTTTGCACGTGACACAGACATTTCGTCTGTTACTTATTTAAAATTTTCACATCGTTCTGTCTTAAAATTAGAAATTAAAGTTAATGACCTAAAACTGCAATAGTATATCACAGTACAAGTAAAAAAAAAAATTGGCGGTTTCACTCACGTGTGTGTCAGATTTGCGCAATGCTTATGGGGGTCCTACAAAATTTTTGTAAATATTATGGGGTCCTGGGGTGTCGCAAGAAAAATCTCAGTGATAAAAAGGGATTGCAATTGAAAAAGGTTTAAGAAGCTCTGCTCTAAACTGTGTAAAATATCCAAACCTAAAATTAAAATATTTCAGAAATAAATTTTCCTTATAGACACATATATATGACTCTAGTTTATTTAAATTCAGCATTACCTGTCAGATTTAAATTAGATTAATTTATATCTTTAAATGGAACTACAAGAAAATAAAAGTAAAAGATTCAGCAACTGCTTATACAGAGATACTCAAGGCATCAGTTGAAGAAACAAATTTTGATGGGTCCTGAAAAGTTTTGAGTATTATTTTTTTATTGCATAATAATTATATATATGTATATGCTTCAGGGGTGATACTAATATCATTTCAAATTAAAATGATGATATCATTCCAATCATTCTGAAAATTATCATGAAGTATAAAAATCCAATATATTCACCACATCATTTATCAAACTTACTTACTTTTTTGGTTTCTTAGCACTTTAAACAAAAATAATCAAGTTGCTTTTTGGAAAACTCTAAATTCTAGAAAATTTTTTGCTAACAACCATAGTACAATCATCAACAAATTTTGTTGTAAACAATAGCTTTTTACTTTATTATTAGTAATAGATTAGAACCTGAATCCTGAAAAAGCCATATTAATTAGTGCTAGAGATAATCTCCACACGGGAAGAGAAAAGTTTATGGAATGTTGAGAATTTTGGCAGCTGTCCAAACTTCACTAAATTATTCCGAAAACCTTTACTAACAAGTTTTGATAGGAATTATCTGACCCGAAAATGTCATATTGTTTTTATTTAATGAGACTGAATAATGTTTCCTAGTCTGATGTTATCTAGACTGTATCAGTGTTCAAAGTTGTTCTACCGTCTCTCATAATATCATCCATACAATTAAATTAACTTTCTGGTCTTTTTCTGGCATTCGGTCCATGGAAGTAAGTTAAACAAATTTAATCAGTTTTTTGATAATGCAGGGTAGGAATTTTTGTCTTCAACATTTTCTCAGACGAAAAGTTAAGAACATTAGTTTCTATATAAGGCAAACATGTAAATATTTTAAATTTATACAATCTTTGAATGAAACATTTGTTTTAAAACTAGATTTAAGAGAATGAATCTATATTTTAAAAACCCAGAAATTCCAAATATTCGTAAGCAAAAACTCTTTAATTCTGGAGGTACTTTTCCGTTTTACCGGCACAGGCGATAAAATCGCCAGTAATGGAACAACCAAACGGAATATCCTCACTGGTAACCTTTTATGCCTTATTTTCAAAGCAATTCGCAGCCATTTCTTATCATATTGATTGTTTCTTTCAATACTGGCATACAATTACATAGAATTTGTACGAGATAGTTCAATTTTATGCCCTAAGGACATTCGCAGTAATTAAATCAATTAGTATGCAATCAATCATACGGCTCACCTGCAGGCAAGATCAAGGGTTAAATTCTTCAATTCTAATGAGAACGCACTAGCGAAGTAAAGCACTGCGGTTTTACATAATTTCTGAGTAAGCTATTCGTACGAATTAAAATAATTCTTGCATTTAAACTTTGTATTCCAATTAAGATCTAACTTGAAATTAATGTAGAAAATTACTGAGAGAATTAGATTTTTTTAGTGTAGTTTACATGAGATGAGATCACTTGGGGTCAACGTGATATGAACCGCCGAATCAGGATGTTGAACCACGAAAGCATAGTAAATTCTTTAATTAATGTCTTTTTATAAATTTATTGTGTTTATTTATTGGCCTTCTTTACAAAATTTTAAACAATATTAAAATGAAAAAAAAAAAATATAATAATAAAATTAAAAATAAAAAATCCTTAGAATTAAAATTTTTTATATGTATACTGTATGTAGTCACCAATAAAGTCTGCTTGGCGAGATTCATGCTGGCGAAACAGAAAAGCACCATTCTGGATTATCCAAATCACAGTCACCCGTTACTTATAAATACATATTAATTTATTGGTTTATTGCCACTAGTATTATAGGTTTATTTACTATTATAGTATTTTCTTCAATGAATCTTTTTTCCTTAACTAATTTATCAAATTTGATTTCTCAAAATTCATTAACTTCAGCTTTTTCTCCTTATTTTCAATTTTCTGTAGCAATGGTGCCACATTTTTCAAACATAAACGCCTTTAATGTTCATCCATTGTAATTTATCTTTCACAAATGTATAATAAAAATCTATCGTGATGCAGAATCCAAATCCAAATTCTAAATTTCGAATATTATAAGATTCTAGATCAGATCCAGATAACATTTTGTAGTTTGAAATACAGAGAAATGCTACTTTCCTAAGCAACAAAAAGATATCATCCAGGATTTGTCTGTTCTCACAAACACCATCTATTCTGAATAAGCCTTTTCCAAATTAGAAAAATATATTAAAGAATAACAAATGCTTCATTAAGGAAAGTTTGAGTCGATACAACAAGCGTCTTCGGTTGATCTTTACAATATGGTAACTGGTAGTTTGGCGACATGGGTTTGCGACAGTTTACTACCTGGGACTTTGGTAATAATGTGAGCAGTACTCAGTCCGATTACGCATTATTTGTGTGAGGGAAATGAGAGGATCATGGGATATGTCATATGTATTAATGGACGAATTACGGTTCTTTAATCGGAAAAAAGAAGAAATCGGGAAAAATCTGGAAATTTTGTATTTGGCTTTATTCTGTGGTTGTGTGAACAGGTGTTCGTGAATTTTTGGATCCCATGGCCGTAACTAAAGTGAATTCGAAATGGGGATTTATGTATGTATTAATTTAATGTATGTGCTCATTATATTTCAAGTAGTGTTTTTGAATTTAATTATATTTTAATTAAATGATAGTTATTTTGTGAATTTATGTTTGTAGGAATTTGGTATACGTTTTAGTTGAAGTGAACGTGCATGAAAATAATTTAAATATCTGACACTAAGTATTTGTAATGGTTTGCGGTATGAATTCGTTGGTGACATATATAATGTAATAGATGATTTAGAGGTAAAAGTTTTTGGATATTTTATTTATTTATATGTGGAAATGTTCATATTTGGAAAGGTAAATACTTTTCGCGATCAGGTAATTTCATATATGTTCTTTTTACCGGGTTTAAAGATTGAGAAAATTGTCATGTATTTTCGTGAAATTTTTCTAATTTATGAGAAAAAAGCAGTGTACATGGATATAGTGAAGAGTGTACGCAATGCCATTTTTGTGCAATTCTGGGATGTATTTTTTAAGTAAAAAGTCGGCGTGTACATGGTTTATGTGTATGTGTTATTTTGAAAAACGCGTAAGGAGTATGGTATTGTGCACTTTTTCCAATTTTGCAGTGAATATTTGTCATGATTAAGCAGTTTTGTTAGATAAAATTCCTAGCATAAGTGTAATTCGGCTAGTAGATTGTTGGAAGAAGTGTTCAGTAGATAAAAAGAAAATAAACATGTCTTTACTTCATGAAGACAAAATGGCGGCGGGGAAAAAAAATAGAGGGTTGCTGTTGGAGAGTTGGTCGCCAAAAAAACGCCAAGTTACCATAATGTAAAGATCAACCGCGTCTTCTATTTAAAATAAAAATATTGATTTTAATAGCAGCGTTCACAACATTGCTATAGTATACCTAGTTCATTAGCGGAATATTTATTTTTAAACAAGGAATAAACCTTATTTAGGTAAATACTAATACACATTTTCTTTGAAAATATTATTGTAAGTGTGCAAATCGCTAAACCTTTACGATACACACAACAAATTTCGTTCCATTTTCCACCATAATCATAAGTATATACAAATAGACCTAGAAATATATAAAGAGAAGTACTCAATTATATTGTCAAACCTCATTTCTAGCAGACAAATGGTCGATTTTTGAAGTTAATACTTCTTTCTCTTCGAGTAAATCCTTCCCAAAAGTTGCAGCCAAGTAAAGATTTTTATCTTTCTCTTTAATTTCCGTTCGTAACAACGCTATAGTCTCTAGATAATTTTCTTCCTATAAAGAAATAAGAGATACAATTAAAATTTCATACACTATTACGACAAATATAATTTTGATATAGTTAAAAGTTAGATACTTGCGTTTAAATTCATTTTTAATAAACAATAAGGGTGCACAAAATTTCTAAATTTCCGCCGTAATAACAAATCACTGTTGCCAGATTGTGAGACCAAATCAAAGAAAGCACAGATTACGCTTCACGCATGCGCAATAGAAATTTTTTCGGACCTCCATCACTTTTAGTGACTTCAGCTGTCGAATGTGGGCTGTGTTCGACGAGAAATTTAGCAGAAATTCTTTCCAAACACAAAAAAAATAATTTTTTGAAAGTATTTATAGGCCCAAAGATAAATATTTAGTATGATCTCAGAATTCAGAAGAGAAGGGCTAGCCCACCCCCGAAATAGGAAGTGTGGAGGTATTACTAAACCGTTTTGACACTTAGTGCAAAGCCGCAATTCACAGCAAACAAATAAATGTTTTAAATTTGAAAAAGTAGCTTTAAAAAACTGTACGGAAAAAAATAGCTCTAATTTAGAAGAGAAGATGTTATAACTGTAAGCATTTGTAAAGTTTAAAAAGTTAATAATACTTATTTATTAATTTTAAAACACTAGATAAAATTCCACCCTATGCATGTATTATTAAATCATGAAGAAAAATCTGGGATTCATATCTTTTCTTCATCTGCATGCTAAGTGGAAGAATTCGGAGATCATCATTCGTTAAGTGGTGTTCTACCCGAGGGCCTTTACCACTACATGTTTATCAATCCTCTAAGGACCTGTAAAGTTTGTTAAATTCCATAAACTGGATAAGTCCTGTGCACTTGTAATAAAAGTGCAAAGTCTTCAGTAGTGAAGAAGTTGATCAGGGGTGGCGACTTATACTGGCCACAGATGAAGTCTTCGTTGGATAAGCTATAACAGCAACTAAATTTTGGCATATCTTTTACACATTATCGTATATTTGACACAGTATCGTACAATAGTAAGATGAAAAGGATGATAAAGATGAAACAAAATCTAGATTAAATAGTTGAAAATAATAAAATATATACAAGAACTACCATGTAACATTGGGAGAATACTATGAGATGCATTCCGGTGACGTCGGAGATCACGTGATGTAAGAACTGCTACTCTAAACAAACAAGCTTGTGCTGTGTTAAAAATTCGGAAACTTTGTTAATTTTTAATTTGTTATGAAATTTGCATTTCATCTTTAATTATTATTTCATCCATTGCTTAACTGTTCATTCATTTGGTTAGTATAATTTTGGTAACTCTTATATGTTATCGTTATCTTCATCTTTTGTTCGCTGTTTTGATTGTTAATATTTATTTATAAATTCGGCTAAATCGCAGAATAGGCTGCATCAGGCAATGCTGTGTTTACTTCTCCTATGCTTGGACACGCCCTTTTATGACGTAATATTGGTTACGCCTCTTCTTGAAAACAATTATAAGTATGAGTATGCAAGTTATAAGTCTTCGTATTTAAAGAAAACCTAAATTATATTTTGTCTGAGTTGAAATATTAGATTTATAATGTTCTGCGCGAGATTTTTTTAAATTATAAATCTACTTTTGTGTGCTGTGCGGCAGTGTTAGCAATTAACGCAACGAGTTATCTCTCACAAATGTATTATTAATATAGCAAACAATTTAAAATGATCATTATGAAACGATTGAAAATATTGAATGCGTGATTTAAAAATTTTAACCGTAACTTCTGAAAATACAAAAAAGAATTCTTTTGCATAAAGAGGTTGGGAAACTCTTTAGCCTCGTTCACATACAAAACGCTCCTTCGCACAGCTGCCGTTAGAAAGGGGAGAAAAAGGAGACATGAAAGAGTTTCGTCTTTAGGACCCGTTCGGAAGACCACCGTCTTCTTTCCCCTTTACATCTAAAGCCTCTGTGAATAATCACGTCTCCGAATTGGCAGATTTCTAATACTGTTTGCACATTTTTAACGTTGTTTACTGTTACTAATTTTGTAATCTGTACTTTCGCAACTGGTACCTGAACTTTCGTAATGGTTCCTGAAAAATATATGCTTTTTAATTATTATTATTATTTTATAAGCTGTTATTTAGTTCACTCTTGGTGCTTGTCGCTATGGTTAAAAGATGGTAATGGATTTTTAAACTGCTTCCCGATAAAATATAAAACTCAAACTTTGTACATACACTGCTTGTGAATGTGGTGTCATGCTTTTGATTTTTAGAGGATTAGATTTTTTTCAAACTTAAAGTTGAAGCGACTTTTGCAAATATTAACAAATAAACGGAAAATCTCAGAATATTATAGTTTGCACCATAACACACTCTGGAAGGAAAAAAAATTGAATAAAATTTTTAGCGTAATTTTTTTTTAAATATTTTGGGAGAATTTTTAAAAATCTTTCACATTTTTAGACTTTTTGACGCCCATTAATTTTAAAATTTCATATCTAAAAATGTATCGGTTACAAACTTCCGACATTTTCACAGCTTATAAAGCAAACTTTTCGCATTTAAAAAAAAAAGATAAAGGAAATTAATTGGATGATTTTTTTACTTTTTTGAAAGATATGCAATGAAGCAGAATGGGAAATATTGGTTCTTCTTGGGCATCAATTCGAAACCTCGGTTTCAAAGTAATAATTTCATTATACCACACTATTTTTATGACATTATTTATGCTATATAAGTTGTTATTGTTACCAGTTGTTAGTTCAGCGTGAGATTGGAGATATTTCTGAATTAACTTTCTCTTAAGATGTATTTTGCATTCCGTTGTGTTTAACGTTCGTATTAGATTGAAGCGTAATTGCTGATTATACTTAGTGATATTCTAAACACTTGTACGAGTATTTCTGTGGAAAATTCCAGAACTTTGAAGTGTTTATGTTGAAAAAATAAATTTAATTAAGCGATCATCGGATTTGAGTGAAATGACAATCATTTACGAACTATTATCAATCTATTACAAACCCGTACGCACGCAACAATATTATAATTAATTAATGTATTAAAATTGTTTTGAACGTGTTTTACAAAATAAAAACAGGTAAGGAAAATTCTGCTTGCGTTTTATGAGTTTTTGCAATTTTTCTGGCCACATAAGGTTTTAAAAAAAAGGTTTGTAATTTATGTTTATATTTACCAATTGAATAAATAGCACTAGGTTTGATTTATATACATATGTGTGTATCGAAATTCAGTAATAAAATTTTAAAAATTTGAAATGATTAAATGTCTATTTAGACAGTTTGTATTCTTTAAACTGCAAATGCAAACTGAGAAACCTCTTGCACTTTTTTCAATAAATCCTTTTACTTGAAGTCCTAAAAGATATACAGGTATGGACTAATTTTTTTATTATTTTTACTGCTTATATAAAATTATATACTTTATAGAAACAAGGATGGGTTTTGCAAAATACTGAAAGGAAAAAATTATTTGAAAATGTGACTGAGATCATATTTGTTTTAAAGATTTTTGTTTTAAAGAAAGTGTATTTTTTCCCCTCAGAAGCTAATTCATTAATTGCAAAAATCATTGCTTGAAGTTATTAAGCAATAAAAACAGGTAAGGGAACACTCTAATAAATACAATAAAAAAACCGGGAAGGACATTCAAAATTGTAGGAGAAGAAAGACATTTTAATTGTAAAATTTTTCTTCAAAAATTTAAATTAAAAAAATACTAGCAAAAACTTTTTTTCAGCTTAAAATTATTTTGTCTCACAAAACCATTTAATAATATTCATAAAAAGTAGATGAAAATGCTTAATTTTTTTTAAATCATTCAAAAGATACTGAGTCCCTTTTCGCCTTGAAGCCGATATGCACTTGTCTTAACTTTAGTTTTAATTTGAACGATATTTCTGGAATACCTAGCATCAGATAACCTTGTCTGTATTTGTCTATAATTTCCGTATCTTGTACAGTTCTATCTAATTTTGGGGGGGGATGCTATCACATCCCCAGACATCTATCAGCGCGATTATTTCGCTGACAGTCCAGCGAGCAGTAACTAAAATTAAGTGAACCGCGCAGTATAGTACGGGAAATCTCCCATTTGCCTTGCTCCCGAGAGGTAAGGAACATTCAACCAAGTTCTACCTCCAATTCGGCGAGGCAGTTAATGGGACACGTTGGAAGAACCGGTTTTCGCTACCGGTCGAATCTGCTCTTGTGAACGGGGCTTTAGAGAGGAGTGGTCGCTGGCGCTGCGATCACGCAAACTGGAGGCAGTGTCTAAACATAGCTCCCAAATTTTTACATAAGTGTTTCAGTAAATGTTTTCAACTCTCTAAAAAAGTTTAATGCACCTTTCCTATGCAATGTCTTATTCATCAAATTAAAAAAGGAAACTTCGCTTCTTCGAAACTTGTTCGCTGTTCACTATCAATACAAGAAATTGAAAAGATACCCTGGCACGGAATATTCAGATAAGTAACATTCTGTTCTCTATACAATATCTTATTCTCTATCACTAAAGTGCCATTAAATTTCTTTATTTATTATTTTCAGAAGATTCTGGCATTATACAATAGTTAGTAATAGTAGCAAGTCATGTGGTTCTTTTCTTCGTAACTATTCCGTAGAGACGCCACATTCCTTATCAGTAGTCCGTTCTTATCAGCAATTCACACCCTTCGGAGCCCCCCCCCCTTTTGGTGCTTAGGAATTTCTTGAGAGGGAAAATGGGAATCTCTTGACCATCGATGAGTATAGATTGTGATTTTTGTAACTAAGATCCCCGACTTTTTTTTTCAGGTCTCAAACTTAGAATTATGAGCAAATTTAAATACAGTGTGACGGAATTTGTTAAACTTATAGTATAATAAATTACAACGGTTAAATTAATAAATTAATTTTATATTTAACTAATATTTAAGAAAAATAAACTGTATAATTTATTTTTGCTGAAATGCTCTCACACTGTTTATGGATTTATGATTTTGTCAATTACTGTTTTTCTGAAATATAAATGAATATTTTGGTAACGGTAATAGTTAATGTTACTTTAGTTAAAATATTATGTACATCTCTGTGAGGATATATGTCTTTTCTAGTTAGGTCTCAAGATAAGGGCATACACATTAACCATGTAGGAATTCATTTATTTCTTTTTTTAACTTAGCTAAAGTTTGCTGCTTAAAGACA